AACACACATTCATTCCCCCTACTGGTTCAAAGAAAAAGAAAAAACCATACAACATGTTTGTTTGACATTTTTTTAAAAATGATTTCGTTGTACATAGTGATGTGATAGATAATGATTATACAAAATAGAGACGAAAGAGTGTAAGGTAGATATAAAATTAGAATATGAAAAGAAAAAAAAAAAAGTTAAACTTGACGTGGCAAAGGTTCAAATTATTTCGAGCATGGTTTTTATAATTATACCCACTTTTCTTGATTTTGTTGGGTATCAATCCTGAGGGAGGGATGTATTTTTAGGCAAACAATTATTTTTTTAATTAGAAAGTGAATTTGATCTTAATTTGGTATATTTTGCTATGCTACGTTTTTGTGTAATGCTATTTATATTTGTTCAACATCGTTTATTAATCACTGAAAATTATTCAAATTTCTTCTTTATATTTTTCCAACTTTTCATAATTTCTAGAGTAACAATTGATAAATACATATCACTCGCATTATAAAATTAGTTATTTGCGTTCACAATCGCTTTTACTTTTGAATTTTTTTTATCGTGTCAGATATTTATTTTTATTTGAAAAATATCTGACTGTGACAATAATGATATATTTAAGTCTTATGTATTCGTTTAATTTTTATAACGGAGATAATTTATTTTTTCTTTTCAACAATACATTGTGATTATTTAAAATATATAAACTTTTGTAGTTTTCAATCAAATTGTTTTCTTTTGACATTGATTTTCGATTGTGATGAATTTAAAAATTAAAATTAATTTTCAATTTTTTATCAATAAGACAAACTTGTTAAATGAACTTGTCCCTAGCTCTGTCTTGTCTACACCACTCTGTGGCTCATTTGTTGGGAAGCCTGCACATCATAGCATCAATAATTAAGCCTTCTTTATTAAGACATAGTAAATAGCATGAAACCCTAGTGCTTTACAATCAACTATGCTTATTGATAAATCACTTATCTCTATTGTTTTTTAATGGTTTTGCTGAAATGTTAATTTATTTTACAAAATTATTTCTTTTAATACTATAACAAATTTTATATTTAAATCAAATTGAGATTAAGATATAGTATACTTTTGATTTTTGGCTAAATTTGTTAATCTAGATTAATTTTATAAAATTAAAATTTTGAATATATTTTTCTCGTTCTTTATTTTTTTATTTTGGCATACCAACTCCTGCCCTCCACTTTAATGAAATAGACTTGGATTTTGACAAATTAGTATATTTTTAAACCTAACTAAAATATAATGTGATTAGTTTTTGAAAAGATTTATTAGAGTGAGAAAAAATTAATGAAACAGGAGTTTAATTTATATAAGAAATTGATACTATCTTTAATATAAAATATGATATAAAATAGGAAGAGATTATAATATGAGTTTTTATTATTTATATGTTGATTAATTTTTTTATTCATATTGAGACTTCAATTTACATTTAAAATTTCTCAACAATATTTTCCTCAAATATGAATCATTTTACATTGGTACATTACCCATACGAATTTATTAATGACTCTTATTTGTATCGTCATTCATTATAACATGACATGCTTGTGTGACCCATCATCAAATAAATTTTGGATATAAAGATCACTTTTAAACTATCGGTCACTACTTATACCATCAGTCTTAATATTATTATTAGGTATTTTTTAGAAGAACTAACAATAAGAAAATTCTCAATAATGAGATACAAATAAATAGATATGACAAAACGGATTAGGCCCGGCGAACCGGCCCATCAGCTCGTCATAATATGGCGGGGTGGGTTGATGTTTTTAGTCTACCAGCCCACTTTGGCCCGCCCCACCAGGCCAACCCACGGGACAGAGTCGGTCAGCCATCGCCGCTAATTAATAAAAAAATAATTTTTTATTGTAATAAAATTAATTATAAAAATAATATATAAAGTTAAAAATAAAAAAAAATAATTAAAAAAGTTTCATTCTCACATAAAATATTCTCCTTAATGAAACATAACATTCTCTCATGTTCTCCTTGTTCATCCTAAGCACTGATTATTTTTATCTTTATGACTTGAATTAAAGGTGTAAGAATTACTTAACTAAAAAATAACGTGAAGTTTTACCAAATAAAAAAGATACAGGTATTTAAATTTTTCAATATAAAAAATATAAATTTTATAAGTTTTAACGTTATTTATATATATATATATATATATATTTGTTTTTATTTATTATTATGTAAATTTTATTATTGTTCTAAATTATAATTTCTTAAAATAATGTATTGATTTATATTATTAAATTGAAATAATATATATATATATATATATATATATATTGTATTATTCACAAACAAATAATAATCTTATTATTAAATTTATTAAAAAAAATTATTTTAAAAAATAAATTATTTTTTTTAAATTATAGCGGATCGATCTGCTAGTCCAGCTAATTGGCCCCTTGACAAAGCAAGCCAAGGTCTACAACAATAAGCCAACCCGTCCCATCCCACTTTTGGCAAGCCAAACGGATGGACTCGACCGACTTTGTCATTCCTACAAATAAATCATATAAATGAATATGATACTTCCTTCAACCAAAATTTATTTTTATTAACTAATATATTTATTATAAAAAGAAAAAAAGTATGGGATATTTTGTTACGAAACACTTGAGAACTCCACATATCTTAAACTCCTTTTTACGGGGTATTAAAGTGATGAAATCAGTATCTTTGCAAAAGTTGGTTTGCACATTTAATAAAAACACTACAGTTTGCATTGAAAGTTTAAATATTTCTTCTTTCAAAACAATATTGACAATATCAACAAGATCAAACAATGAATGAGATTGATATGGGTTTCTCATCAAAAATAAAATCCACAATCTCTTGCAAATAAATAGATAAGCAACATAATATTATCTTGACAAGTATATATATATTGGTGCATGTTAAAATCCAACTGTGTCAATTTTTGATAACTCCAATGCATTCTTCTTACTTTGTGTTTTTAAAAAAAAAAAAAAAACATTAAAGGCCATGCTTACATCACTTCACGTGCAAATGGACAAATAAATAGAGATCTTTAATATGCAAGTCACAGAGTCTTTAATTCATGAATGATTGAGTTAATCACAATGGGGCCAAGAAAACTATTCGTGTCTACTTTCTATAATATTCACCGCATATGATAAAATAAATAGAGATTGAATGTTCCATTTTTTCCCCCAAAAGCAATATATTTATTTTTTAAAAAATCAACAAAAATAGTTTTTTTTTTCAAAATCACTGAACAACTTTAAGCAGAGCTTTTATATATATATATATATATATATATATATATATATATATATATATATATATATATATATATATATATATATATGAGAGAGAGAGAGAGAGAGAGAGAGAGAGTTAGGGTTCTTAGAGATACTACATTAGTAACAGTATTCAGTCATAGGTTTTGAAAACTTTGGAAATGTTTTAATATACAATAACATGTATATGATCATTTCAAAGGTTATATATCGATCGAAACCAAGCATTATAAATATATGCTTTCTTGACTAGAGGCATGAGAAGGATTTTTGAAAACATATGATTAGATAACGTGTGGAACAATGATTTGTTCGAAGTTGGAACTTTTTGTTTAAGTGTGAATGAAATATCCAAAAAAAGAAAAACAGAGAGGAAAATTGTAGACTATATAGAGACGAAATGAGATGAGTGGGTTTGATAGTCACGGACGAGTGATTCCCATATGACATGAGGTGCGACAAAAGTGTCACAATATCTTTACTAATAATTACAATAACGAACATTGCAGAGACTATACTGTTTCTGTTGGATGCTGAACACTGTATATGTGCTCAGCCACCACATCTTTTCCATTAACTCAACGCCATAAAAATCTTTCACCGAATGAATAATGACATGAGACCTAACCCTAGTTATCACCATCCACTGTCTTAGACTGCATCCTAACATGCAAACAGTTTAGAGAGAGAGAACAACTCTATAAGAATGTGAGTTTCAAAAGTGGTCAACATGGTCAGGAATATTTCAAAATGATATGCCAAAAAAGGTCATCTTTAAGCTAAGGAATGTCAAGAAAAGCACATGAAAAGTGCAGAGCCTTTAATAAGTTGTATTGTAGAGCTGGTAATAGAGTTAATAACCATTTTTTAAATTAATATTTTAATTTGTGTACCCTGATGGATGAATACATCATGTTATAGTTTATTGAGCATTGTTAAATAAATATTTTCAAATGTATAAATTATATTTAAACTTACAATAACCGATTTAAATTATTATATATCAGTTTATTTTAATTATTATTAATTGTAAAAAATAACTATTGAAACTATGATTAGAAAATGTTTCACGTTTAAATTATATCAAAGCACATTTTTTTTTATAAAGAAAGAAAGTTGTTTGGTATGTGATAAATAATACTTTTTATTTTCATGCTGTCATGAGCGTTTATATTACTCCTGGTATTACATGTGAAAGATAGTCTTTTAATAACATTTTATTGAAAAGTAAGGTATTTATTTTGAAGTTTTGTGTGTTAATTATAGCTAGAAAACAATGATGAAATTGAAAGAAAACCAGGCTTTGTCGTTTCCATTGGATTATATCCAATACGTGAAGATTCTCAGCAAGGGAATCAGCATCGTCGTCTGTTGAGCATGGTGCACAACCTGGCTGGCTTTTCGTATGCTTTCTTCTGTCTCAAATTAAACTTTATCATGAAATTCAATGAAACAGTAAAGTTATTCAGATGTCTATCACTGTCAAAGTGAAAGTACTGAAGGGAAAGGGATTGATGTGGTGAAGAAAAACGTAAGAACTTCAATTTTTAGAATCGGAATCATAGTTAATATACCAATTAGACTTCTTTTGATAACAAAATAACCCTTAGAGCAGTTTGAAATAAGGTCCATACACACGTACAAGCCTTTTCTTTCATGATTTTTTTTTTTCATTCTGCCTAATCTTGAGTTTACTTATAGCAAAGTTGACTTTCCAAAATGATGATTTGGCTGTGCTGACTTCAGGTCATGGTCCAACGAACTCATAGTAGTCATGACACGTGGTTGTTGTAGTCGTTCTCTCTGTGAAAATCCACCGTTCATATTTCTCACCATTCCTCCGACACCCAAAAAGTCTAGGGTCAACTTATCAGAACCTCCAAAGTTTACGTTAAGATTCTGGGGCAACTTATTGTTGGACTCATCCACGTTTTGAAACCCACAAAGGTTGTTGTCGTTCCCTTGCATGTTCCTAAACAAGGACGTGTTTCCATTGGCAATAGAGTTCATCAACCCTTGAAGATTGTGGTGGTGGTCAACATTTTCAACTTTGTAACCATTGTTAAACATTTCTCTAAGTAAAGAAGAACCGCTGGTGGTTGTGGTCGGACCCATTTGAGAAGCCTTTTGAAGCAACACAGTGGCAGACATATGAGCCGATGACACGTTTTCTATTGAATCACCAAAGAGCGATGAAAAACTTGAACCAACGTGATCACTTACTGCAGGGTTAACATAGAGTGGTGGTGTTGTTGTTCCTTGGCCACTACCATTTATGTTGTTGAATTGATCAGGGATAATGGTGCTAGTGCTATTGCTACTTGGGAAGAAGCCGAGGTTGAAAAGACTGGAATTAGGAGCAGCAACTGGTGAAGAATCGGAGTTGGTGTTGTTTCCATGAAGATCAGTGAGCTGAATTAGGCCATTTAGTTGTTTGCTTGAGAACAGTGATCCTTGTTGTGATTGGTGTTCTTCAAATAATGTTGGATTGGCGTTATCATTCATGAAGAAAGCTGAGGAATGCATTGATTGTGGTGAGTGCCCAAATGAAGAATGATTTGGAGGTGGAATCAGGTGCTCAAACTTTGCAGCTGCACCAACACTGCCAAGGTGCAAGATGCTGTTAGTGGTTGTTTGGTTCTGATTTTGAACTTGGGAAAGTTGGGTACCCACTTGGGATAGGGTTAAAGTAGTGTGGTTTGTGCCAAACAAATGACTCCCCAAGGGGTTTAAGCCACTGGGGTATCTTGCACTTTCTTGTGCTAGCGCATCACAGAATGCCCTATGAGTGATGAAACTGTCACGCCTGCATCAAAAATAGATCGGAAGAAATATAAGTATGTGTAAATTAACCACATCTTACATAGAAATTGACATTATCCTGGAAAATAGAGAGGTGAATTGTTACGTCATCAAGTAAGCCTTCAATTATATTTTAAGTATGTTCATGTGAGAATAGAATATGATAATAAGAAATGTTTCTACTCAGCTCAATAATGACGAGTATGGCACAACATCAACACAAAATATTCTAAAACAAGACAACATATCTATTTGTTTTGATAATGGGTAACCTAACGAATTTTGGAACTGCAGAAGTTCAAGATATGTCAATTATTTAACCAACCAAATCCAGAGGTAGTAAAATATAAAAATAAATAAAATAAAAGCATAATGGGAAATTTGTTTTCTTTGTAATTGGAACTGGAATTTTGAAAAGAAAACTACAGTGGAAACAGAGGGCCCAGGGATCATCACACCAAAATATGATACACACCAGAAATCCAAATCGAACTGCCACTTTAAGGTCTCTCCTTGATCAATAAAAGAGAATTATTTTCAACTTTGATGAAAGTCAATTATCATAAGACCAAATATGGGGCCAGGTCAATAAATGCAAACAACCTCAAAACTTGTCTATTTTCTACGATGAGAATTGGTTTCAAAACATTCGTACAATAAAAAATTGCTTATAAAGAGTGGCGAATTAATGCTGAGAATTTGTTTCAGTAATTGCACAAATAAATAATTGGGGGCAGTGGTGACAATTATGCACCTCGGACCCATTGCAACAAGATAACTGTATTTATATTTAAACCGAGCCAAGCCGAAAGAGAACAAAAGCCAGCATTTCCAACTCATGTGAGAACAAACCCAGTATCACTATGCCTGTTCCCTTTGCAAAGTTGCTTAGCTACACGTGAATGGGAATAAGGGTGGGGGCACGGTTCCCTAGGAACAAAGTTGAACTTGCTTGTTTTTTCTTCTCAAAACATGTCAATTTTGTTACCCCATTTCAACAGTGAACTCACGTGCGACCAGTCTTCTGCCATGCTTCCACTAACACCCAGACACAAACTAACAGGAAAATGAAGAAAGCTCTTGTTCACGTTTAACTTCTGTTTGGACTTTTAAGCTACTTCGTTTCAATTTTTTCCCAACCTATTATATGGTATAATTGACTTAATCCATTCTTGGTATTACTTTCTTAACAGAAATTATCATTTTTATTTTAAAATTCTCTCAGTTAGGTAATAAAAAATCATTATTGTCAGATAAGATAATTTAGAAAGTAACGCACCTACTTTAGGTTGCATTTAGATGTGCTTATGATAAAATTGCATCAAGCTTAACAGATCTTATACTAGTGTGAAAAATTCAAAGCCCCAAACAGTATGAGAAACCCTAATTTTTCATAAACTGTATATACGTATAAATTTGGTCAAGAATGTTTAAAGTGCAAGCGAAGCTAGGTAGATTATGATAAAATGGGTTGTTACCTAGAGAAGAGAGTGCCACAGTCACATCTGTATTCTCTAGTGCCACAAGTCTTAGAATGTGCTTTCCAATCAGATTGAACAGCATATTTCTTTGAGCACTTTTCACATTTCCACTTCTTCTCGCCATGCTTGCGAGAGTAGTGTTTCTTAATCCCAGTGAGGTCACCCAAAGCCCTTGAAGGATCATGATGGACGCAGGTGGGCTCGGGACAAAGATAAACCTTTCTTTTTGGCTCTTTTGTACTCTTCTGTTTTAACTTCCAAGGAAGGTTGTGTCCTCTTCTGTGAAGCTGTAGGTTTTGCTCCCTTTGGAACCCTTTATTGCACACCTCGCATATAAACCTATTTGTTGCCATTAGGGTCTTGGGAGATAGTTCTATCACCTCAGCGTCTGGATCTTTTACCCCATAAAAAATGACAAACAACAAATTATTAAAAAACTCTTTTGCTTCAATCACTTGCTCAAATTGAATACGCACAAGAAACAGAAGAAATAATCTTTCTTTTTTAACCTTGTTTTTGAACTAACGTAGGCATTCTAATAGTAATAATAATAAAAATACGAAGTTAAAAATTTTTAACCAGAAGTTTCATGCTTTTGAGACTCCTGGAGAAAAGCAATCCAACCATGAATTGAATGTCTCTTCAGTAAGTTAAAGAAGTGAAGAACCCTAACTCATATTCATGATTTAGGGTTTGACTGCGTTTGTTCTTCAGAAAATGAAAAAAGTGAAATAAAATTGCAAAGGGTGTGTATATATGTGTGTGTGGTTTAAGTAATCAAATTTAACTAAGCTACTTGCTTGGTGTTCCAGGTTGATTCCTCCGTTTCTTTTGAGGCACGGTGGTTGGAGCGACTGTAGACAGTTGATGGTGTGTTGTAATCTGAGGGCCTTCTTCTCTAATTCCCAAAAATGGAGTGTATGACGATGCTGCCGCCATAACTGTTGTGCAAATCTGGAACTAATTGCTGAACCAAAAGTAAAACCTATCAAATATCCAAATATCCTTCTACTGAAAGGAAAAAACCTCAATTGCATGTTTTCTTGTCTCATGGAAAGAATAAACAAAAACGAAAGGGAAAAAGAAACTACACAGAATGAAGAAAAAAAAAAAGACCTGAAGTATGTTTGATTTTTCCCTGGTTTCTTTGTCTGTCAGAAAAAAAAAAAAAAATTAAGAGATAAAATCACAAAAGATACCAAGAGGAAAGTATCTTAGGAGACAGAAGCAAACAGGAGACGAAGAGAAGAAAACAATTCACTCTGAATACCTACTTATCTCCTGGCTATTGTTTTCTTATGCATAAAATTTAGCTACCACTCCTCCCTCTTGTTATTTCTCAATCATTTGATGTCATCTAGACAGAAGAATAATAATAATAGTTAATAACATGCTAGCTTGTCCTCCAAAAGACATATATAAATCAACTCATGTGTATCTCTTCTTTTTCCCTCTTCTCCTCATGGTTATGCATTTTGTAAGGGAAAATAATTAAGGGTGGTAAAGTTGCCAGCGAAGTGAGGGAGGTAATTTATGTCACTGTTATACTGCTCCTGCACGGGCTACTGTGTCCTTAGCAGATGGTGTTCTGGGGCCACCGACCCTCTTAGCCCTCACCCTCACCTTATCTCTCCTTCTCTTATTTCCTATCTTTTTACCAACAACCAGACAACTTTCGTCATTTTTTAGCCAACAACTAATTGATTTATGTATTATTAATTATAACTATTACAATACTTTCTCGACTATGGTTTTTATAAAATTTCATCGGATATACAACTTTTCGATTATTATTCAATTATATATGGATTACTGTAAAATTGACATAGAAGTTATTGGATTAGTTGGTAATAAAAATGCAACCAAAACCTTGTGGTAGATTAGGGATAGAGGACTTGGAACTCTTAAAACCTAAGCGTGTTAACTAAGTCGAGATAGCGCTTTCTGGTAGATACTGACAATATTTGGTTTTCTCTCCTATTTAATAATAATGTTAATTTGAATTGTTTAATTGAAGAGATATTTTCTTGGTGATAAGTTTCTTGTTCCTTTTGGGAGAAAGATATTTGCTTTTGGAGAATGTTATCGGATTGGAACCACCTTGGTTTACTCAATGTGTATCAAGAAAGGTCAAAACTTGGGACCTAGTTTCTGAAATGATGTTAGCGTTGACAATACTGGCTTGAAACATTCTTTTCCTAGCTTGTCCCGAGTTTGTGTTGAAACAGATGCTGTGTGTAGTTGAAATATGATAAGACATTATTAGAAAACTAGTTTTTTTCTGTCAATTTTCTTGTAAAAAATTGTTTAAATTTATAGAAAACTTATTTCTTGTAATTTTTATCAAAATTTTGCAAAAATATTCCCATGAAAAATGAGAATTTTTAGTAGTGAGATTTGGTTCTGGAGATCAATATAAGAAACTGGTTGTTTGTGGTCTCAAAAACTAATGCTATATCACAAAAGCCAATGCTAATTTGTACGTAACATCGAAGTGAAAGCTACAATGCTCAAAGCAAAATATTTGCATTTGTATCTTGGTAGATGATAAGTTGCGTCACAAAAAAATCTACATAGCTTTGAGGATCAATTTTATGAAATGTGGTCGACACTCCATTTACAATAACACAAGGAAGAGACAAGTTAGGAGGATTGAGAGGGAAGTATAAAAATTAGAGTTCATTAAACATATATATAACGTTAATAATTGAGTGTTTTTAAAATGAAAAAGTTATTATAATAAAAAATCTGATAAAAAAAGTGTTTATTTAAAAATTATGCATATATATAACATTAATAATTGTGTGTTTCTATACATGTTTATTTATTAATACTTTCTATGCAATTATTTGACATCTATTTTTAAATTTTAATTTAGTTTTGAATAAATTATTCTTTAGATTTAATTTACTTTTTATTTCTTCTTTCACTTCCGAGAAGAAAATAAATTTTATATGAGCGTTGAAACGGATATTTTTAAATAGCTTAAGCATCTTTGTTTAAAGCTTATCATGGAAATGATCCAATACCTATAAAAGAAAAAACTTTAGAACCTCATACACTACGAACACTTTGGGATAGGAAAAAATATTCTTTCAAGGATTCTTCCTATAGTTAAGTTTTTTCTTTCGTTAAAGTTCAATGCAATTGGATTTATATGTAGATGTTACATTTTCTTTTATTAATTTAATGATTAGTTATTATTATTATTATTATAATTCTTATATATTCAATGTTTGTTAATTGAAAAATTAAATTAATTGAATGATTTTATAATTTCAATTATAATAATAAAAAAATTGAGTTACAATAGCAAGAAAATAAAAATCCTTTTTATGTCTAGAGAGAATTGATATCGTTGTTCAAATATTTTTCTTTAAAGGAAGTACATTTATTGAACTAATTCAAGGATTGATAATGAAATAAAGAGATTTAATAAGTTGTTTTATTAAGAGATTAAGATTTAAATAATTTCGTGGGTTAGTGATAATATATTGATTGAATAGAAATGAGTGTTAATTACATGTTAGAATCTTGTGATGATTTTTTTGGGTTAGAGTGCAATTCATAATCGACTCTGTTATTAAAATTCTCAAGCGAACATAAAATTTATAAGCATCTTCTTAAACTATAATCGATTGATATATCAATCCAACTTTGATACATAAATATTTATTCATTTATTTATTCATTAAGGAAGGTAGTTTTATTATAAATATATTACTCATATAATAATATGATACTTTCTCATTAAAAAATTTATAAATATTTTTTCTTTATCCAATGTTAGAAAAATATCAGAAAAATATTAAAAATGCTGAAAAATCTAACTCAATCTTATAAAATTAACTCTTATAAATTATAATGTTATTATATAGTGATAAAAAATTAATCGTATCTTCTGAGAAAGATTTTTCATCGCACCTTTTTATCTCAAAATTTGTTTTTCATGAGTGTGTGAATTGACATTGGAATGAAAATGAAGGATACGAAGGGTGAGGTTGTGGACCATGTTCTGAGTGGCATTGGTTTGGATAGAAGCTTAAAATTGAGACACATGTTGTGGGGTAAGTACCTAGATAAGGCCCGTCTCTTAAGAGAGAAAATAGATGAACAATGATAAGTCTTCAGGGAATTTGGCTTTACCTACATTTCAAGGACCGAAAACCTATTCTTTCACTTTCTTGTGCAAATCAACTTCACCCAAGTGTGAGAAATTAATGCAAAAGGTATTCAATTTGAAGACCATATATGAACACTTTGCATCACTTTTACTATCTATATATTCTCCCTTCTCACATTCTACAACAACCAATAAGCTACTCCTTCCAGGCTTTGCTACTATAATTATGCATAACCAATGCATGTCAAGAGAAGTATAATCCAAATTTATGCATAAAAATGTTAATAATGAACTTTTTAAACAGAATATAAAAACGTATTGGAAAATATTACTAAAACACGCATACACCCCCCCCTTAAAACTATCATTTTATAGTTTTTATGTTGACAAAGTTTTAAGTAGTCTTCTCATAACATCCACACTAGAATGCGACAGAAATAAATGGATGGATTCTATTTTATTTTTATGTTAATAAAAGGCATTAAATTAAAAAAAGTGATACATTTTAACTTTTGTAAGATAAGAGCTAAGAAACAAAACCAAATATTCCATTCCATTTCCACTCGTCAAACCCTGCCTCAAACTCTAGACAGTTGCCAAGAACTTAATATAACATAATAACCCTCCTTTTTTATCACTCTAAAAAAAATATTATGAAAAAAAAAACTACTTTTCGTCTTAAATATTATTTTTTTATAATATAATAGTAAAAATTATAATTCATATATATAAATTTTATATACACAACTAAAGCATAAAATCTTAGCGAGACACTTAACAAAGTTTTATGGAAATTATCAACGAAAACTTATTTTTATTATTTAAGAGTATTATCAATCGTCAAAATGCAAATATCTAAAACGGTGGCGGGCTCATTAATAATTTTGCCGTTACCAATAACAATACCCAACTGTTCATTGCAATTAACCAACCAACAAACCCATTAGATACAAAAGGCCAACTAGGCCCACATTAATATGGGCCAATTGATTGTTAACTTGTCCGAAACGGGTTCGGTTCCTCAAGTTAACAACTTTTGTTATTATTATTATTATTATTATTATTATTATTTTCTAAACTATAATTTTATATAGAAGACAATTTTTATTTCAGTTTATAATATTTATAGCATATAAACGAAAAGATATTGAACCAAAAAGAATAAAAGTTGTATAATTTTTTTTTCTAAACATTAAAGTTAGCCAATCCATTAAGTATATGTTTGAGTAGGTATTTAAAAGATTAGTTTTAATTTTCTTTAACTTTAAAAACCTATTTTTATTAAAATTATATTGAAGATGAAATCACTTATGTTAAAGATATTTATGTTAAAAATAAGTTTATAATAAAATATAACATATAATTTATAAGATAAAACTGATATATATATATATATATATATATATATATATATATATATATATTAACTTGTACAAAACAGACTTAATTATACAAACTTCAAGCAAACATAATTAATTTTTTCAGAAATTTTGTGATAGGGTAAATTGGTTAGTAAGTTCAATAATTAATTAATGCATTTTTCTAATATGTTTAGATTATATAGTAACTCCTTAGAGTATATTAAGATTTTAAAAAAGTCTGTACAATTTTAAAGTTAGAATATATTGAAATTTTTTAAATAAGTCCTTATTTATTAGTAATATTTAAAAATTAATATTTTTATTACGTCATAAATACCTATTTAAAAGTCTGAACCAATAAAGGTCTATTTAAGAACCAACACAATATAAAGATATTAATTTTAGTTTTTAAATAAGTTAGCATAGTTTAGTAAAATTCAATAGCTATTCATAAATTGAGACTTGTTTTATAAATAACATACAATTTTTTTGGAATTAAAATCATAATAATTACTTAAAATTTTGAATAGATACAAAACATAATTTAAGCGTTTAATATATAAAATGATTGTTAATATAGCTTAAAAAATTATTTGATATAAAATAGTAACGTTTTCATAATTTACTTATGTTTAACATATATAAGAAGACATAAGTTAGTGCCCGAGTAACATTTAGTAAAGTTACTTCTTTCAATACATTAACAACCAATAGTGTTTTACCTTTCCTACACTACCATTTGTTCACTTTTATTCATTTTAATAATAAATTCTATAAGTACATCCATTTTTAATTTTGAAAAAAAAATTAACTTACTCTATATATACAAAATTTGATTGAAAGGATTTAAATCCTTTAAAAAACAAGTATAACTTCATGTACATAGTAGGGAAGTGTAATTCCATTTATTATTATTATTTTTAATTTAACATCCTCAACCATTTCATTTAGGTTCGATTTTCTTAAAGGAAAATATCTAATCACAATACTTTGAGGGATTTTATATCTCTTCTTGGTTCAAAATTATAATTTGTAATCAGTACGAACATTTAATGTCAACTTTTATTGCGCGTGATACTAATTGAAATTGTAATTTTGATGAAAGAACAATATTAAAAGCACTTAAGGTAATGAGCCTAAATTTTGTGTCGATTTTTAAAATGAAGAAAAACCCATATCCATATCTTGTTCTTGTGAAAAGTAGGTCTCATGCTTCCAATTCTCGTACCACGCTTCTTCAACCATGGAATCATGAAGCCTCCAAGTCTCATCTTCAAAAATATGTTGGGGTATCTCAACACAAGCATACCCATCATCCTCGTACGACATGAACAAGTCACTGATGTCAAAGTCCTGAAGAACACCTGTTAAGCAATGGTTATGGTCATCTTGTGGCATGGATGAAGAAGGGTTATGGTTGTCCCAGTTCGTTGCGATCAAATTCATGGTGTTGACTGAATCATTGACTGGCATCATAACCTTGGTGCACCTCATTGATTTTGGTTTAATCATAATTGGGTGAGGGGGTTTTGAAGGATCAAGAACATCACCCAAGGAACTTTTGGAGCTTAAATTGATAGGAATGTTGTTGTCATGGCCAACAACATCGTTGTGGTTGTGCTTGTGCTCTACCTTCTTTCTCAAATAAGTATTCCAATAATTCTTAATTTCATTGTCTGTTCGCCCTGGTAAGCGTCCCGCAATTAGAGACCATCTATTCACCAAGCCATCATCAAGTAGATGAAAAATAAATGTTAATATATTGTTTATATATGTGAACAAAAAATGAAGTAAATGCATGTAGATTTTTAATGAATGTACCTATTCCCTAAGAGTTTGTGTAATCTGATAATGAGATCTTCTTCATCGGAAGAAATGTTTCCTCTCTTGATATCTGGCTTTAGATAATTCAGCCATCGAAGTCTACAACTCTTCCCACATCTTTTCAACCCTATATGAATAGAAATTATCAAAACTTGACAAGTAGAACAATTTTGAAACTTACATAGCTAAATACTTCTTCATTTCATATACACCTGCTCTTTTGGAAAGCTCTCTCCATTTCCCTTCTCCATGGACTTGAACGTAGTTCATGAGAATTCTGTCTTCTTCAGCAGACCAAGGACCTCTGTTCATATCATACTGATTCTCACAATTGCCCTTTCTTCCCATCTTCTCTCTCTCTCTCTCTCTCTGTGTTCTTGGATTCTGAAAGGTGTTGTCAATGCTTCCTTAAATACTTGCTCACTTTTCTTTTGAATATTTAAATATATTTGATATGAGGTAGATGAAGCAACCAAATCTCGATCACGATTATAACAGTTCTATTACCTTGTTTTGTCATTCAGATGGGACCAGTAGTGGACTAGTCATAGTGCTGTTTTCCTTCTAGGACAGAACAGTAATCTGAAATGTGACAGAGTATAATTTAGCAACATAAGTGATGGTTCCAAAATTTCTATTATTATCAGATTAAGTTTATACTTGGTAACATTTTGTATAGTCATGAAATAAGTTTAAAGCATGGTGAGGTAATACAAAACATGTTGGAAAGGTAGCATTTGAACGAGAAAAAAAAAAAAAAGAGTATGATTAAAGAAAACAGTGGGACAGAATAATTGCAATCAGATATGGAATAAAGGATTGGGCATCAAGCCTCGAAGGTGGCCAACTAAGTGGCTCAAAAATCAGAACATGGTGGACAGTTATCATAACGCAAGGGTCCCCCCAGTCTGATTCGTACAACACCTCAAAAATCAATAATAGAACTTAGATCATTGCATTTTCACTGTAATTAATTAGCATCTTCATTCTCAAAACTCCTACCATTTTTGTTGGCCGAACCATTGTCTTTGTGTCGTTTGTTAAAGGAAAAATCTACCAAACAAAATTAGATAGTTGCTGTACGATGATAAAGATGAGAAATGTAAAATAATCAAGAACCATGTAAAGAATAAAGATTCCCTCATTTTATTTCCTCTTTTGTTAAATTTTATTTTCTCTCTACATATGAATACAAAATAGCATCAAAGCTATGGAAAATAAGTATATGTAAAATTGGCGTCAATAGTATACTTATTCTTATGAATGTTAACTTATATATCAATCAATATGCAAGATTTCCTTCCAGAAAAAAGGGCCAAGCTAAGTATATGATGATCCCGTAGGCTATAAAACCAGCTGAATATCTTTTTCTTTTTTTTAAATATATTACTAACATAATTGTGGTTTATTAACTTCTCATCGTTATCGTAATCACGTCAAACAGTTATGTTTTTTTAGAAAAAACTCTTGATTTCTTAAAATTATCACTATTATAATACTAATTAAATATAATTTTCTTAACCAAATTAGTCCTTCAAGAATTTAGCTTATTACTAAATTAATCCTTTAAAAATGTAAAATATCACTATATTGTCATCATGGGGACTAAATTGGAACAAACATGATATATAGACTATATTTCGTCCAACACTTGATTGGCTTAAAATTTAATTTAAAGATAAAGTTTAAAGTAAAAGTGTTAAAACACAAAGTAGAAATTGTTGATTAATTTTAACTTAAAAGTTTATTTAATGCTAAAACCGTCGTTCTTTTTTGTTTTACTTGGTTAAAACGTATATTTTAAAAGCTATTTTAGTTGGCTTTTATAAAAAAATAAGCTACTTAAGCCTTTTTTAAACTGTTTGAGTCAAACACGACCCTGATCATTAAGGGATTAATTTAACGTAAGAATGTGTAGAAAAGTTAAATAGTGACCCAACTAATATTTAAAGACTAATCTATCACCAAAACATTAGAAAGATTATGCAATTTCAGATAATTAAATTAACATTTCCCTTCCTCTCTAATTATAACTACAACAAAGTTCAAATCAAAATGGTAAGAGTATTTCTTGAGTCTCGGTTAAATTCTTCATGTAACAAATGTTTACGACCTAAGAAGGGTATAATAACTTATTTTCAATTGTGAAAATAAAAGGTTATAAAAATCCTAAGAAAGTACGCATTTCTTTTTCTATCTCCTACTTATTGACTTTGGTTTATACTAACTGGTACATTTCTTTGGATGTTGAATATAGAAAGAACCATCATTGAAGGTCCATCAAATCTCTATAATTCTTTTAAATTTCTAGTTTGGTTTAATTTCTCCGTAATTATTTACCCAGAAAAAATTGAATTGACTTGCAAGTCAATTTAATTTATTTACATTTTACCTTTCATATTATATAAATTTTTTAATATTTTTTAACCCTTTTTTAAATTATAGACTCTAATAATTTTTAAAAATAATTTTTTAAATGTGGATACTAGTGCACAGATAGTTCATATATAATAAATCAAATCAATGGTATTATTTTTTATTTCTCAAATGAAATGAATGGCTTGTGCGCAAGTTCTTGTAATTATCCAAAATACTAGATAGTTTATAATAGAATTCAATTCTACAGGAGACAAATCGAATCAAATCTTTTTTTACAGCTTAAACTGTTAATCAAGTGACTGTATGAACATTTTTTACTCATAGATGTTAAATTCTACTAAAAGTTAAACGTTGCTTCTTTTTATTTGTAGAAAAAATTTACACTTCCTTCTGAAAACTATAGGAATTATATAACAAAATTAAAGGTTGAAATGTTTACACCTCCTTCTGAAAAACTTTAATTCCATCTTAAGTGTTGTTGGGAACCTCCTTTTACATGTTTTTGTCTTTTTACTAAGATCCATCGCGCACTTCGAACTTACTCTGCTTGGTTATTGTCGAATTCTTCCTTTGCGGACGTGTTCTGCTTTGCCTTTTTATCATTCAGTTTGCTCCTTCGTCTGAATATTTAAACTTTTCCATCTTTCTTTCTTTCTTTCTTTCTTTCTTTCTTGCTTGCTTGCTTGCTTTCTTGCCTTCTGAGTGTAGAGTAAAAATGAACGCTTTGCAAGTGTAATTGACGACGGTCATGGTCAAAAGCAACTCTTTTGCACGAATTGTTTGTAATTGCGCGTGATCGATCTTATCGATGTTCTAGAATTACAATGGATTCACATCATGATTGTTTCTATCATTCTACGTAAAATTGGACTTCTCTCGTGTTTCTTTTTCATTTTTTTCAATTTTTTATTTACTAATGAACTATATTAAAAAAAAATAAAGACCCAATTAAAGCAATTTAAATTTAATTAATTAGTTAAAGAGGAAAATTCCCCCTTGCTTATTTGGATTAAGAAAAAAATGCAAAAGATTGAAAGAAGATAGAAGAAATTATTTTTATATCATTTTTAAAAAATTATTCTTGTTTTTAACGAAAAGAATATTTGTTAGTTTTCTATATTACAAAAAAGTATTTAATTTTATGGAAGATCTTGTGCTCCTTCAAGCACAAAACATATATAACTTGTAGCTTACTAGCTTAGATTCTGTAGGCAGAATAAAAGTTGAATTCTTGAGTAATCAAATAAATAACTATATTAGCTTAGACTCTGTAGGCATAAAATTGAATTCCCTTCTAATAAAATAATGAACTTAGTAGCTTGGATTCTGTAAGCATACAATAAAAGTTGAATTCCTTATTAATAAAATAAAACAACACATGTGATACATCTACTTTACTTTCTTAAAAAAATAACTCTTATACACACGTGACATAATAAAAATATAATTATCTAACTCGTTAGTTTAGAGGTAAGATTTACACGTAATTTTGTTATATTTGTCGATAATATAAAACTAAATATTAAATATAATAGATGATATGATTCGATAAGGTGATCAAAATAGATGTTGATATCATATGGACACGTGTAATTCAAGCATTTTAAAATTTTACTTCAATTATACATGGTTTAAGTAATGTAAAACTAGAAGAATAATAAGCAAAATGTTCATGGATTCACATAATTACTAGTAATTTTTATTTCACTAAGTTGCGAACAACTAAGATAACACAAGCTATTCAATTGTCAACATATGATTGTTAGAAAGAAGCCCACAATCTTTAATTTTAATAAAGTGAGGGTTCAATGAAGCTTAAGTCATTTTCAAAGCGAGGATATTATTTTTTTAACAAAACACAAAATTCTAAAATAAAAATAGAGAGGAATTGTGGTATACTAATAGATTAGAATAAAACATCTCTCGTCGTTAGTATAAAAATATAATTTTATATAGTTTATATAACATTAATTAAAAAAATTAATGTAAAATTAAATGTAATAATGATTTTTTAAATATTAAAAATAAATCTATATTAATTTATGAACTAATGTTAAAAATTATCATGTTTTATATTAATGATAATTACATCAATCGTACCGATATAAAACGTTTATAGTAAACACATGTAAAAATTTAATTTTTTAATAATTTATGATGATTAAACATTTACCTTTCTGATAAATATAAATATAAATATAAAAAAAATGTGGTATTAAGAAATTATAATAATAAAAATATTATAAAAAAAATGTTAAGTTCTTTTTCTTCATTTCTTTTTAAACCAATAAAAGAATACCTAATATTCTCCTAGTTAAATAGTAGGTTGTTGAATGGTTCCTCCCGAATTACCTGTAATAAATACAACGTTAATGATATAAAATCAAAGTACAGTGTGTTTTCTTTGGTTTCTACATCATTTTCCTTCGAATCTAAACCATCGAACGACAGCGACCCTTTTTTGATCTCACATCACATGCAAAACTCATTCCAAGTTAATATCATCGTACATATTATAGATTAGTCAAATTTAATAATTACAAGGTACACATCAAACATACCCAGACGCTATATTTGACGCACCTCCACCACAATTTAAACCTATATATATATATATCCTTTCTTGTGAAAAAGATTTTTTTTTTTTTTGTTAAGAAAACCTTTTCTTTTTAAATAAGTAGATCTTATGTATAGCCTTGTTCATTCGCACACGTCCTCTGCATGAAAAGATCCCATCGTGGTGGGAAGAACCCGGTTTTTCACGTTTTTGTTTGTGACTTTCTGCACGGTTTGAAGAAGAAAATATATCATCTTCTCAGCCATCTAACTTTTCCAGAGGAAAAAAAAAAGGAAAAGCTTGAAACAACTTAATTTATCTATTTTTTCAAATAATAAATAATAAAATAATTATCTTCTGTTTATTTTAATTTCTCCTCTTTTACTAAAAGTAAAGAATAGAAGGGTGGATAGACTAAGTTTACTAATGCGAAGTCGATTTGTGACTGGTGACATAATCATACGTCATCTTGTGGACTAATTTTTGTTTGGTAAATTTCAAAAGAAAAAGACAAAGAAGAACGAAGGTTAACAACACCCGACAAGATCCGCGGAGGAGGGTCCCATACTCAAACATCGAGATGTCATCATTTCCAATTCGGTCCCACTTTTTTATTTTCTTATAGTGTAAATCTAACTTTCTTCACTTATGTCACTTCAGTGATTTCACTTTGCCAACGTACACTACAACTTTTTTCTCTTCTTCTATTTAATTTTATATAATAGGTTTAATTAATTTCTCCCACCATTTATTTCTTTTATTTTCTACAATTTCATCCTATTATTAATACATATTTTAATTTTAAAACAGATAAACTTTAATCTCTTAGATTTATAAATAAACACAATTTAATTTCTAAAATTTGTAAATATGATTATTTTAATCCAAATTAACTTTACATCGTTAGTATTTGTGATTAATGACTAAAAATATATATCAGTAGTGAAATTTTTAAATATAGTTATTTTAATTTTAATTAATAGAATAATCAATTGTTGAAGAATTAAAAAAAATCAATAAAACACATTAACACAATAACTGAATAATTATTTGAATGATTTGATAATTTATACTAGAAATATTAATATTTATATCATTAAGGTGAATAAGAAAGAAAATTAATGATTAATACTTTAAAAAAGACATCATGTTTTTCTTCTGGTCTTGGCATATTATGAATGATACTCTTTGTCATTCTTTAATGGTTTAAAAACATCATGCTGACACTTTTTTATAAACTACAATACCCATTCGATTATTTTAAAAATTTGTATTGTATTATATATAAAAAAATGGTAGAATAGAAACAAAATGGAAACTGAAATTTGAAATACGTTAGTTTAATAAGAAAAGAGGTGGAATATTGATAAAAACGTGGATGAATGATGTTGTGGCCTATCAAACATTCTCTCTCAATAGCCCATGCTGCATGGCTGCATTCACACCTGTCCCCCGGGAAGTGTAGCAAAGCTTCAAAAGCAAATTCCAATCATCTTCATCAAAACTCATCTTTTAACGCTTTCTTATCTAACATACCTCCATTCCCCCTTCAATTAAATATCACCACATTCTCATTTCATTCTTTTTCAAAAGGCAAAAATAAAATAGATTCTCGTATAGGTTAGGTCATCCTTGTTATTCTATTTCAAAAGCAATTAGTTGGACACTAAAAACATGTGATTCTTGCCAAAAGCGGCATAGCTAACAAAAGAGGTTCCTTGCAATCAAACCATGATGGTGGGGGACTGTAATGGGTTATCAAACCCTTTTAGCCCTTGTTTGGTTGGAGTGATTTGAGAGAGTGGAAATGAGAGAGTGGAAAAGGAGGGATTTGAAGAGAAATGGAGATGATTAAAAAGTGAAGGAAAAGTTTATGGGAAATTGTGAATGATTTGATTGATATGAGATATAAAAATTATAATTTTATGTTGATTATTTAAGAAAATTACCATTTTACCCTTTGCATGGGTGTTGTGCATTGAAGGAACCTCCTAGATATGTAGGCTAATCCAAATAAATAATAAAAATATTAAAAAAAACATATTAAAAACATTTGTTTTTTAAATATAATGTTATATATTTATAATTACTAAATATATATAAATATTTTTTTTAAACTGTGTTTATAATATAATTATTTTATACTTATAATATATTTATACTAATTAAAACATGATAACAAATGTCTTTTGTAATTTTTTTTAACTATAATATTGAAATTTATTTATGAATATGAGAAAAAATGAAGTAAAAATATGACAATAAATATAAAAGTTATAACAAATATTTTGTTAAATAAATATTTAATAAATTTATACTAATAAAATTTATAAATATCGATTATAAATTAAGATTCAGTCTCGGGTTGCATTTCGCTCGAGCGACTATATCTCGTTCGAGCGAAAAACGATCCTGATCGATCATAATTTGAAATGATCGATCATAATTTGAGGATATAATAGCAGTTCCTCTGCAACCGCTATCTAAAGTGTATATTAGATAGCGGTTCCAGTGGAACCGCTATCATATACAACCATATTTTAATTTCTTCAGTCTCGGGTTGTGTTTCGCTCGAGCGACCATATCTCGCTCGAGCGAAAAACGATCCTGATCGATCATAATTTGAAATGATCGATCATAATTGGAGCATATAATAGCGGTTCCTCTGTAACCGCTATCTAAAGTGTATATTAGATAGCGGTTCCAGTGGAACCGCTATCATATACAACCATATTCATAGGGATCTTGCATCAAACATTGGATGCATTCGTCCCCCATGTTTGCAGAATGAGGCAAGAAGGAGCCCAGAAGCAAAGGCAGAGCCAAAGCTTCTCAAAGAAAGACAAAACAGAGTGAGCAAATCCTAGGAGCATACAAATACACTGAATTGGATTGGGTATCATCCTTATAACTCCATCATATTTCGCAATCATGGAGAACAGTAATATTAGAACGAGTGGATCTCATCCCAGTAAAAACTCACTCGTCAGAGGGTCTGGAATGGATACTATCAACGAAACGGTGGCATTATTTTTCCCTCACAATTAGAGGGTTTTCCCACACAAAATTTGTTTTAGAAACTCCATGCTTACCATTATTGCTTCACTAAACGCTACTGTTATCATTATGCATCAAATAAGGAATTAAATGGGGGAAAATAACAATTTTTGGAACCTTCACGATAAATCGGTGACAACTCATCCTGGAACAATGGCATTGACGTGCATGGTTGAGTGAGAAGCACCCCATTGCATCTTCGGTATGTGAAAAAGTAGAAGCAACCTAGGGGTAGTAGAGGTGGCGGTGAAGGTGCGAAAGTAACGAAGTGTGTGTGAGAGAGATGAATGTGAATGTAAGAGAAACATAGAAAAGGAGGGAGAAGCGATGATACCTTATGGCTGGAAGCTGTTGCGGACGGAGAAGTCTCGGGTTATGTTTCGCTCGAGCGACTATATCTCGCTCGAGCGAAAAAGATCCTGATCGATTAGATTTAAGAAATGATCGATCATAATTTGAGGATATAATAGCGGTTCCTATGTAACGCTATCTAAAGTGATATATAATAGCGGTTAAGATTTAACCGCTATTAGAAGTGATATATAATAGCGGTTAAGTTTTAACCGCTATTACAAGTGCTATTATAATAGCGGTTAAGATTTAACCGCTATTACAAGTGCTATTATAATAGCGGTTAAGATTTAACCGCTATCATATGGAAGAGGGTAAGTTGGACTTTTCATTATCTCCAACAGACTTTCGTCTCTTTTCTTCGCAGATTAGCGAAGAAAGTCTCTCTCCCCTCTCCCCCTTTTCCTCGCCTGCATTTCTTCGCAAATCTGTTCAATCAAACGTGGGTGAATCTCGTGTTTCTGTCTTCGTGAACAGTATTTCCTCGCAAATCAGTTCAAACAAACACAGCGTTACTTACGACCAAATTTAGGTTTAGTTGTCAAATCATATCAGTAAATTTTATTCTGAAAAATTATGTGTAAAGAGAAACCAAAAATATTGGTGCGGTAAGCGATGATTACAGCCCTTTAGGTATATGCGTGTGCAGTTCATAATGCAGAGTATAATGGACATGTGATGTTACGTGTTTTTGCTGTGAAAGCTGATGTCTTTGTCGTGTCGTGAGAGAGTGTAAGAAGAGATGACCAAGGATGACCAAAACCAAAAAAGAACAAGCGATGGTGTCTTTATGAAATTTGAACTCGGTAGGACTCATCAAATCTTCATAATTTATTGTTTTTTCTCTTCATATTTGCTTGCTTGAAGTAATGATTCAACCATCGGAGTCTGAGTCTGCAACTCTTTTCACGTCGTTTCAAGCCTGATCAGAAGGATCACCAAACAATGTAGTATGAAAAACGAGAAAATATTATATAGAAATCATGAAGGCTGTATGTATGTGTATATATACAAAAAAAAATAATCATAAATTCCCTTTCCCTATGAAGTTAAGACGGAAAAAGCTTGGGATGATTTTGTCTTTTTAGCAGATTAAGTAGCGATGTTCATCATTTGTTTTATCACTTTTGATTCTGGTCTTAATAATATCTTCCCATCATCCCTGCATGAATGTACATTTGTAAATATTTTTTATTTTTTATAAATAAGAGAGCAAGTGTAATCCCCGTTTTTTTTAATGTCTTCCATGCCTTTTTTTTGTTTGAAAAAAAGCGAGTCGAACCAACTATATCATGACTTTGAAATGAGTTATGACCTTGTCCGAATACAATGTTCTAACTATGTACATTATATATGTTTGGTATGACTAGTAGTTGCTTCATAATTATTAATTGTTTATTTTATGAACAATGTTTGAAAAACAAATCTTTTGTAGTGTTTTTTTTTATGTTATTTTAATCAGTATTGTCAAAACTTTTACATTAATTAAATAATTAAATTATAAATACCTCAAAATGTATTTTTATTATTTAAATTAAATTTGCTCAATGTATTATTTAAATATCCTTAATTTTTTATATCTTTATAAATTATTTTATCATACAATTTTATCAATTTTTTATAATTCAGTAAACAAACTTTTACTACCTACTAGTTTTTTAATTTTCAACTAATATTTCTAAACATAATAAATTACTATGTTATTGGAGTACTAAGTGTATCCATAATTAAATTTTGCAAAAAAATAATAATTACTAAACACTTTTTAATAAGAGAAGTTATTAAATGATTTTGATCACCATCTAACATATTACTTCAACTAAATAGTTAGAGATATATGAACCAGGTAGTGATCTAAATAGTCAAATAGTTTCTCTCTTAATTTGTTCCATCCTAAATATAAAGGTCATGCAAGCAGAGGCTGAAGGAAAATAAAATGTAAGGGTCAATTTATTTTTTTTAAAGTAAATTTTTTTAAATATTTTAATATATATAATTTTAATAAAGAATATTTTTTAAAAAGAAGAATTTTTAACCATGACATCCATCAGTCACCACGTGCTCCGCCACTGCATGCAAGAAGAATTTTTAAAAATTAAAATATCTTTTTATAGTAATTATACGTATTTTAACTAACAGTCAATCTTAATCATAAAACTTATTCCAATCATGTAGAAAAACTCTTTTTATACAAAATATAAAAAGAAAAACATTTTATGATTATTTCAATAATAAATAAAAAAATTCTAGGCCCAAGACATTAAATCAGAAACCCAACAAAAACTGAACACCTTTTGATAGAAAACAAGGTACAAAAGTTTCATCACTCCTAGTTCTTATATATATACATAATGTTTCTAATGTTACACACGCATCAAAATGTCAACCAATTATTAGGATAGTGGGTTAGTTATTGAAACAATATTAAAATTATAATTAAAGGAGAAATAGGAAATTGATTTGCGTGGAGGAATACCACTATGTTACATGATACCACTTTATTAATTGGAAGAGTATAAGAACGAGTATTAAAAATTATTGACTGGTTATGCAAAAGTTTGAAAAAAAAATGGTAGTATGGCAATTTTATCGTAGCAAAATAATTATTTGATAATATTTTAATGATTATCTTATTTTCCATATGTTATTACTGTTATTATATTATAAAAAGAAGTTGCTTAGTATATATATGAAATGTGAATCTATTACTACTCGATTTGAAATGAGGTTACACGATTCACTTAACTATTTAGATAAACAACTTAATGAATTAATATTTTATTAAATATATAAGTATTTATGTTTCCATAATAGAACAAAAAGGTTAAACTATTTTTATACAAGTTATTAATTGTTTTTCGTTAATTATTGTATTGAACTTACTGAAATAAATTAAATATAGTTTATAAATACATCAAAATTACTTTTACAAGTTGTCAAACATTTATCCAAATTTATATGTTACGAGATAAATGTAAAGTTTGTCTTTTAAATAACTGAGCGTTGTTTGTTTTGAAAAGTAAATTATAGAACCATGTGCCTTTATTTACTTTACACACATTCTAACTTTAAGAAATTGGATCCTAAAAAATAAAGATTTTATTCCTTTACTGGGTACAAAACTTAAAGTACAAGAATATTTAAGACATTGAGAGAACAAAAGTTTTGTGACACCTAGAGTAACACTATCATGCAAGAATTCGCCAAAATTGCTATATAAATTTCATAGCATGATTCTCCCCACCTAATAACAAATAACTCGTAGTTTTTATCATAATAAAAATCACACTAGCCACACAAAAAAGGTCACAACCATTAAAATTCATTTTCACATCTAAAATTCCATTTATGTATGGAATATTTTATCAAAAAAACTTAATAGCTCTCTAGGTAACTTTTGTACTGTTTTTTAACAAAGTTAAAACCTTACCTCAATTACCATAGCTTGATTATATGGAATATTGAGATAAAATTTTAATTTTGACTAAATAACAGTACTGGAACCACCTAAAAACACTATAGTTAACGTTTGTCAACTATGAAAATAAAGAAAAATCCACATCATATTCTAGTGGGAAATAGTCATCATTCTTCCAATTATCGTACCATGTTTCTCCTATGGCACCATTGAGCCCGTTGGATTCATCTCCAAAATGTTGGGGTATTTCAACGCAAGCATATCCATTAAAATGGCAATCCTCGTGGGTCATGAACAGGTCACTTATATCAAAGTGTTTGGGGAAGCCTTCTGCGCAACGATCATGGTCATCTAGTGCGGTAGATGCAAAAGGGTTTTGATTCCAACTTGCTGAAATTAAACTCTTGTTGTCGACTGAATCATTGAGTGCTCGAGTTGGCATCATAACCTCGGTACACCTCACTGGGTGAGAAGATTTGGTAGGATCCATAGCAATACCCAAAGTGTTTTTTGAGCACCGTGGAGATTCAATTCTTAATTCGATGGGAATGTTGTTGTTATGCTTGTGCTTCTCCTCTACTTTCTTTCTCAAATAAGTATTCCAATAGTTCTTGATTTCATTATCTGTACGCCCTGGTAATCGTCCCGCAATAAGCGACCATCTGTGTATATACATATGAATGAAAATAAGTGTTTTTTAACACATTTTTTCTGGTATATTCTTGTGTCTCAAAAAAGTGAAAAATTTGTTGCAAAAATGTATCCATGATATAAATAGATGTACCTATTCCCTAAGAGGCTATGTAGCCTGATAATGAGATCTTCTTCATCGGAAGAAATGTTTCCTCTCTTGATATCTGGCTTTAGATAATTCAACCATCGAAGTCTGCAACTCTTCCCACATCGCTTTAAACCTACGTAGCAAAAAGAGCAAACTCATGCAATGAAAACTGGGATAAAAGACAGAACAGACTATCAAGTGATTTGAAACAGACTTAGAAACGAGACGATGATTTTTGTTTGTGCTTTTATAACCAAATAATCATACCAGCTCTTCTTGAAATCTGACCCCATTTTCCTTCTCCATGGAGGTGAACGTAGTTGATAAGGATTTGGTCTTCCTCGGCAGACCAAGCACCTCTGTTGACAGCATCTTGGTTCTCATAACCTCCCTTTCTTTTCATCTTAACTAGCTCTCTCTTCCCTTGGTGCTGCAGAAAGTTGTTGTGTGACTGTTCTCTTTGGATTCTCACGTGTTTGTGGCTAAACACTATAGTTGCTTCCTTAAATACATGCTCACTTTTTCCTTTTTTAACTAATTAATTAATTAAACAAATAAATTTAATACTTCTGAAGTTGGTGAATCAGCTAGGTCTCGATCAGCACAATGGCCTTTGAAATGAGACTGGTAGACGGTAGTGCGCATCTTCTTTTCTTCTCCCCCAAGAGAACAGTGATGTAAAATTATGAAGTTCATATTTTGATGCATGCAAAAGTACTGTTACAGAATTTTATATACATTATTCCTCAATCAGAGAAATTTTGTCGTAATATAGTCAAAATTAACATAATAGAAATATGTAAGAGAAGCAAAAATACCGACTTGTATAGATTGTGTTTCTACAAGTTCATCACAGACGGCATCTTTTATTAGCCCTTTTATACAATTGCACGAGAAAAAAGTATTCTCGGAAAAGTGTAACCATTAGAAATGATCAAAATTAAAATAACTTTAAACAATTGATTCATATGTTTTATAAGAGACTCTGATATATAATGTAGTGAATAATTTTCACTTCAGTTATATGTGATCGAAACTACGACAACCCTCACGTTGTTGTAGTTGTCAAATATTATTGTGAAATTCACAAATTTACTACACATGATGATAATACATCAAAACTAATTCATTACCTTTTTACACCATCTATTTTTATACATGGACATAATATAGATTATTTTGCGAGAGTAAAAATAATTTTAACAGTGATGAACTAAGTATATTTTTTTTATTTAATTTACGTCATTTTAAACTATTTCTTTTCAATAATATACATTATAAAATTTTACTTTTTTTTCTAACTTATTTCTCTCATAAGCAAAGAGTGTAAATAGCCATGGTAATTAAGTTTTTCCAGATAAAAGTGAAACTGTACTATAAAACAAGGATAATACTGTTTGGTACAAAAAACATGACACGAATCATCTACGAACCATTGACCAGTATGTGTTCTAAGAATAATGACGAACAGAAATCGAGTAAAGGGTTTTTTGGCATCATATCAAACCTGAGATCAGAAACAATTTGATGGCTGAAAAACCAGCATAGCCTGCTATAATTACGAGTACAATTATTATTACTTGAACAGGTCCCTCCAATCTGATTTCCACAGGATCTCATCTCTAGAACAACCAATAATCTTTATCATTATGGTATTATGATAAGGAAGAAATATTATAAAGATAATTTGCCTCTGTATTTTTATCTACCCACCATTATAATTCTATGATGATGAATTGACCTATTTTGTGGGTTAGTTGTTTGATTTTTTGGTGAGTCATAAAAAACAGTACTAACAAAGGGAAATGAACCCGAAGCAGAGAAGATGATGATGATGTTTGTACGAGCCTCGTGGTGCGGTGTCTCCCGCGCAAAAGGGGAGTCCTGACCCAAACTTTAAGAATAAATGTCCTAATTCCAATTCGGGTAACAGTTTACAGAATATACAGAATAGTATTTCGATGACTTCTCTTTCTAAACCAAACTCTTCTAAACTGTTAGATCCGTAAAAAATGTAAATAAAGAATAAATAAATAAATATCTGACAACACAAAAACTGCAATATTTAAAAATGTCTTTTATGCAATTGAGTTTGTTTTCATTTTTCATATTTCATATTTCTAATTAAAATGTAAAATGCTCATTTTTATTATATCTTTAAATAATTCCCAACTTATTTTTAGAAATTTTAAAATTATTTTATTTTTTATCTATAATTTACTGTTTGAACTTTGCATTGTATATATTATAAATAAATAAATTGATATTTTAATATATAATGAGATTATAATTAAAATTAATAACATTTTAATTATTCATAATTTTTTGAAAAAAATATTGAAGTTTCAATCAGGTTGTACTTTCATGATTTATTTTTTGTTTCCAAGCAGGTATATTCATTATTAAAAATGAGGGTTCGGTGTGGAAAAGAAGCATCATTTTCAATGGAATCCCACGTATCTACGTTTTGATTGTTTCAATAAATAAAAAATCATGTAGTCTTTTTTTTCTTTTCTTTTTTTTAAAGTTGGTATATTCTTGTCGATTGGAATTGGGGGCTTAGTTCTTCTAGAAAAACTAGCAAGTCAATCTATTAAGCACGCGGAGTATATTTTTTTTTTCGAGTAAAATAACAATCAAAGAAATAAATCAATTATGTTTAATGATAAAACGCTAACAAACTATTTCAATATAGAAAATCAATTATCATAAAATAAAAATTTATCTAAAAGGAAATCAAGTAGCTCTTTGAAGTGACGAAGTGACTTGGATAAATAAATTGCATACAAATAAAACGATGAAGAAAGAAAATTAACGTTGTTTTAAATCTTCAAGCAGTTACTACAAGCTACAATTGATTATACAGTTTGATATAATAGATTATGTTGCACCATATAACAAACATCATTATGTACTATTTTCGATGATAACTCAAAAACAATCATCATCGTATTATTCAGTTTATTTATAAGTTCATCGTCAATTTTTCATGACGGTCTTGTTATAACCATATCGAATGAACTTGTTGAGTTTTTTATTTTTATTTTTTTCATTATTGTATACAAAATTTATACAATTATTTTAAAAAATTACTTAATTTACCTCTATATTTTAACTGGCCATTTGAAAACAATAAACAGTGTTTAAATAATTTGCAAATTTTAAAATAATTTTGGAGGTTTGAAAATAATAATAATAATAATAATAATAATAATAATAATAATAATAATAATAATAATAATAATAATAATAATAATAATAATAATAATAATAATAATCGCATAGGGCTTAAGGAGGAATTGGGTTCTACCCTTCGGCTTGTCCCCAAAGCCTATCTACCCGTTCATCTTAAGTTCATGTTCTTTATCAATGACAACGCATTATTAATGTCTTTTTCTGAATATTATAAAGATAATTTGTATGTTTTAATATATCCTCGATTATTATATTATAAAAATGAATTTATCTATCTATTTTATGAATCTCTTTTCTTCTTCTTTTCTTCTGCTTTATCCTTTGGGTCAGTGATAAAAAATGATAAAGAAAAACCAATCTGAAACAGAGAAAGATCATGATCTTTGTAGTTTGGCTTACCAGTGCTTCCGCACAAATGGGTCCCTGACCCAAACTTTTATGATGAATGTCATCATTCCAAGTCTAAGACCATTTTGGAAGTACAGCATTTCAAGGACTTTTCCAAACTGTTATAAACTGTTAAGTTTCTTAAAAAAAAAAAAGTTAAAGAACTCCCAAATGCGTTATGTTCAGTGGGGTTTACTTTTCATTTTTCATATTTCAAAATCAAATTGTAAATTTAAAAACATCCTTATTTTTATATGTGATTTATAATTTAGATTAAATATTTTGACTTTGCATCGTCAATTTATTTTTTTAATAAACATATATTTTTAATATATAATTATATTACACTTAAAATTCATCATGAATAATTATATTTAATTATATAAGATTATCTTTAACTATTGAATATTTATTTAAGAAATATAAAAAATCAAATTAGGTTGTACTTTTATGATTTTTTTTGCCCTTTCGTTTTTTAAGTCAATTTTTCTCACTAGTAAGGTCATGCTTCCACTAATTAGATAATTTCTTTCATAGTCATCACTTTTTTTTTATTATTGTTTTACTATTTTTAAAGAGGAAACTACTAGGACAATTCTCTTTTCTTTCTTTTTTTCATTCTCAACTAATTGGTTTAATTGAAGCTTTTGAAATGGTATGACTAAATCCATTGTTTTGAGGCTTCTTGATTATGTATTACCTTGTTTTAGATTGTGATATGGTACATTTAAGAATCTCAAAAGTTTGTTAATCATTTTCCCATTGAATAGTTCCATTCTCAATGCTATCATGAATAACAATGAGAGTTAAAAAATGTTGATAATATTATTGTCTTTCAAAGTATATTACATTTTTTTTCACGAATGGGGACAAAAATATCATCCTCAATAACCTCTCGCAATTTATGTCAATTGATTTAATAAAAAATGTATTTTTTTTAAATAGTACATATCTTTCATTGTTTAAAATAGACATATGTGGGAGACATAAAACATCATTCTTAATGAAATCCACACATGGATAGGAGGCTAGATTTGGAAAGCATGAAATTTGAAAAGTGAATTCTACGTAAATGAAGTATAAAAGGTGATAATCCATACGAATTATAGGACTTTTGATCTATCTTTTTAATAAGTTGCATGCATAAAATTATTTCTAAGATACTAGCAAAAAGTATGAAAAGGATCCATCCAATGATGATTGACAAGACAAGAGACAAAGTGTCTTCATGATTGAAAGAAAATTGCTTCATAACTAATGAAGTGGTGGATGAGAAAAAAAACAAACAAAGAAAAAAGAGAGTGTTTCATGTTTAAAGTGGATTACAAGAAGACAAGTGATTATGTTTAGTGGGAATTTACGTTATATATGCTGAGAAGATTAGGGTTTGATGAGAGATGAGTGAATTCGATATCTATATTGATAAATGGGAGTCTCACCATAAATGCAAAATGGTTTAAGACAAGAATATTACATTGACAATTGCTTTAAAAGGATTGTAAAATATTTGAACATAAAATATTATATATAGTAGAAGAGATAGTGTAAATATGAGATGGAGAATGGTAGATGATGGGTATGAATGAGAATGAGGCAAAATAGTAAGGAAGGAACAGTTTAAAGTTACGTTAGTGGATGCACGGAAGCATTCAAAAGCAAGTTATCATCTTCATCTTTAAAGTCTTTAATCAATATGATGCCTTTTTCACATGCTTTTAGTACTCATTTTTGGGGAAAAAGTGATTTTCACTCCACCTCTATTTCAATTCGGAAGCACTTAGTTACCAACAAACATCTACTACTTGGGCCTACTTTAGCAAAAAATAAAACAAATAAACATATATTTACTTTCTTTTTAATTCTTTTTTTATGTTGTGTAATAATAGGAGAGAGAAAATATTATAATATTATAAACGAGATTATAAATTGGTAGAATTAGTTGGAGAATATCTGTAACAGATAAAAAGAAGAAGAAGACAAATTTGTGTAGGTCTATCTTAAAAAAAACGATTTATTTATTTATTTATCATCCAGATGTTATATATATTTACTTGATTTCTCTT